TTTAAGGGAAACCGGGGTGGTGCCGCGGATTGCCGTCCCGGCGGCTCGTCCTGACGGGCTCCGCGCAGAGAAGCGTGGTCAGAGCCGAGGACGAGAGCTGTTCTCCTACGCTAACCGGGCGTCGCGCTCCTCACAACTGTCGGCGGTCTGGAGGAAAAAAAAAACAGCCACTAAACCAAATCCACGCTTCCACTTTTCGCCCTGTTTTGAAGTAAAAATAATTCCGGTTTCTGCCGTTTCCAAACCCTCGCTGCGAGCGGGAGGGAAGGGACCTGCGGGGATCGTCCCGTCCAGCTGCCTGAGGGCTCAGGGCCGACCTTTAGAAGTTAATGTCGTCGAGGGCGTCGCCGGGATGCGGCTCCTCTCCCAGTCTATACCTCCGTCCCAGGCGCGGAGTCGCCGCTTGCTCTCGTTAATTTTCGTGCCGTCGATGGTCACCCGATGCTCTGACCTATCCGCGTCCCTCCGCGCGGCCTCTCGTCCCTCCGGAGAGCCGACAAGCACCTCCCGGTTTAATATCGGCAGCGAACCGGTGCGTTAACTCCTGCCTCCGGATCATCGGCAGAGATATTGAACGGGGCCGGCCCCAGCCAGACGTGCCGCGACCCTCAGCTCGGCCGGGACCCCCTCGTCTCCGAGCCGGCGTTCACCCTCGCTGCCTGCAACGCCTCCCGGCCTGCAAAAGTGACGTCGGTCGTCGTAATTATTGGTCAAAAGGAGATCTGCTCCCCGAGCAAATCCCTCGAGGCAAAAATCCCCCCGTTGCATCTTTCCTCAAGCCTCATTTTAAAGAGGAAATAAATTAAATCTGACGTCACCCGCCAGACGGATAAGTTTGCTTTCCTTTTTTTTTTTTTGGTAGTTTGGATTATACTCGCGATCGCAGAAATGAGATTTCCGGCGGCGGGAATAGCGCTTTGGGTGGAAACCGATCCCGCCGTGGGACCGGAGGACGGATTCGGGCTTCGCTGCGTCCCCAGCCTGTTCGCTGTAACCGCAAATACGTTTCCGAACCCCAGATTGGGTTGGGTGTCTTAATTTTTTTTAATAGCTCTTCTGTGCCCTGTCTGAATTAACCAGAAATTCTCGTTTCTTGCGTAAGAGCGACACTTTTCCGCACAAATTGCCCGTTTAACTTGAAGGAGTCTCCGGACCGTTTAGGTGCTGGATTTCGATGCTTCCCTGCCCGCTTCCAGCAGGATGTTTTGGCTTAACCCGCATCGCCGGAGTTATGTTTGCCAGAAGCTGAAGCAAGTGCGAGACGACTGTAAATCGATTTCAACGTCTGGGCGCCAAAATCGCTCCCGGAACTGGTATAAAACCACTTCAGTTGGGGAAAAAAAAACCAAAAACCCCCACTTTCCACGTGGACCGGATAACGGCGTGCTGTCTGCCCCTGCCCCGGCCCCGGGAACAGTCAGTGCTCGCGCTGTGAGGACGATGGGTCTTGTTCCTAAAGCCTCCGGCTTCGCAGAGCCCGCCGGGCTGGGGTCGCCAGCGTGCTCTCGGTTCGTTAGCGAGGGCTTTGCTCTGGGTAACGTGCCCCGTGCGAGCGCGTGCGGACAGCTGCCTGTACCTAACCCGAATTTCCCTTTTCTGTGCCCGGTTTGGGGGCTCTTCCAGGAGCCGCGGCAGCTCCGGCCGAGACGAGCCC